CTTCAGGTCTTCTAATAAATGGAATAAATTAATCGGAGTCGTCACCTTCAAGTTCCGATGCCCAGCCATAGTCCCCACCTTCCAAAGGTTACTTACTGTATTACCCCGCTTTACCCCATCACTATGCAGCACATGCACGCTGACGACTTCATAAGTTTCAATAAATTCCCAACCAGCATCCAACCAATAACAGGCGCTTTGGCGGAGTGGTTAACGCGATGCCCTGCTACTGTCTTAGACAAAGCCAGGCATTTCTTTCGGGAGCAAGAGTTCGAATCTCTTAGGCGTCGTATGAGTCCTTTCTCTTTTGCTATTTTTTGGCTGTTCTAGGGGATATGATAAGTTTTTGGGAGGGCGGAGTTGTTTTTTAATTGGCGAGTGTTTTTACTATACAGGTACCAACGGATTCCAACTTCCTTTTCACTTAGCATATTCAAAGGACTTTGCGGGAAGCTAGAATAGTGTTGAGATTACTATCTAAAATCTAGCCCTTTTCCTAGTGATTTCTATATTGTTATTATTGTTGTAATGCTACAGTAGCTACTGAGTTGATTCAGGCCCGGTGTAAGTCGCCATGCTTAAGTTTCCGAGAATAGTGATTCTAGTTACACCGCAGTGGTCCACGGAGAACCAGCCGAATATCATGAGCTAATACTGCATAACCAGCTTACGCCCTCGAGAGTAGTTTTTTTACTGTGTTGTTGTTGCTTCTATACTATAATCGTAAAACAGTGAAGAATTTCAGTCTGGTCTTCACTTCTGGCTCGTATTCTTGAAGAGAAGGGTCTTTTTGAATATAAACCTGAGGCCAAATGTAAGAGAAAGAGTTCGCAGCTTTAGGTGTCGTGATAGGGTCAACCGGGGAGGGAATTAGCCTTCTTTCTCATAATATTTTGGTCGGATTTGGTCAAAGGAAGGCAATTTGTTTCAAGTTGAGATGAGGGGTTAAAGTGAAGATGTGATTAGAACGCGGTGAGATACCGCGTCATTACTCCGTACACACTATATGAAATGTTATTATATTAAACTTTTAGTCTAAGTAAAAAACTTGTCTTAGTATACCTAGGACAATAAAAAGTACCCGTTAACAATTATTCTTGACCCTTTCAATAACTATTTTAGTTATGCGGGGCTTTTAGGATAATGTTGTTCTAAGAGAGGTGTGTACAGAGCAACGACCACATATCTTACGCATTTGAGGTTTATTTTGACGCGAGTTGCTTGGGCGTCGTGGCAGTCCAAACCAGAGTGGTGAAGATTCGGTTTTGTTTTCCACTTGATTGATATGCAGTTTTGATCCATTGGATCCGCGTATACAAGTACGGTCTTGGGCGTCAACTATACATACGATGACAAAAGTTTAGGGCGATTTCCACAAATCCCGGTCCAACTTTTGAGTTTCCTAGCATTACTACGGTGCCATCTTTGTAATTTACTTCGTATTGTCCCCTTTTATACCCTTGTGGGGCTTATCCCTAGCACTTTATAAACAATTTTAGATCATAATTCCAAATAAGCTCAGTAACAGTAACAACTTATCAAGGGAAGCACGTCGGAAATGCTCGCAAAACAAGTGCTTCAGTACCCATATTGAGCGTCCGATAAGCCCCCTCGAGTAGAGAGTACGCAAACTCAATATGCTCGCTTAATCACATGTACATACTTGGCAAGATTATACGATACTCGAGTAAGGCAAAGCTACTTTCAACCCCATGCCAATTTTCTTCATTGCAAGGTCACCGCGTTGTTAACAATTTAGATGCAGCATTTTTAAGCGAAAAAATTCAATACTACCAAATCCCAGCATATTCAAACATTCTTTGATTCGTCATTCATGGAAGAATCCAGCCCTCTCCTACAACCTGATTTACACGGCGAAGAAGATCCGTCAGCAAGAAAAGACCCAAAATCTAATTCTAGGACGTTTTTTGTGGTCCTTATGTGCACTATTTGTGTGTTAACAATTGATACTGGCATATTTCTCCAGCTAGCACCACTTACCCGCATCCTCGAGTCTATCGTGTGCAGATCTTACTATCAAAAGCTAGGACAATTCCTCATCGAAATTCCAGAATCAAAGTGCAAAATTTCGGCAATTCAAGGGAGACTTGCTATGCTGAAGGGATGGTCAGCACTATTTGAAAGCCTTCCAAGTAAGTTGTGACAGAATTTACGAATAAAATGCTCATCGTGACTAGGCGTTCTCCTGGCTGTGCCCTATGGGCGGGTTACTTGCGGATAAGCGCGGTAGAAAACCGGTTCTCTATCTCGCCATTCTTGGAATTATTATGCATAATATTTGGCTACTCGTCGTCTGTATGAAGTCGTATCCTGCTTTCAAACTCGTCTGCCTCCTGCTCATGTAACAAAGGTTGGTTTCCAAATGTATTTGCGGTTGAGTTGATATGGCTCGCCCCGGCATTTACTGTCGTAGGGGGAGGGAGGACCAGGGGTGGTGAGTATATACTTTAACACACGCTTAAGTCACACTTCTTTTAGTACATATTAACACTTTAGTAGGCAAGTTCGGTAATTTTAACGAGCGTTGCAGACGTTGTCACCGAAGACCAAAGGCTAGTCTACATCACTCCCGGTCACTACTTTTTACTAATTCAGTCCGTGCTAGATCTACGTATTTCTTCAGAATTATAGCTTCCATGCTTATTGCCCAGATTTTTGCGATTCCGATAAGCTCCATTTTAATGAAGACCAATCCTTGGCTTCCTATGTTCCTTGGTCTAGGGGCAATGGTTTTCAGTGGCCTAACCGTCATCATTTTCCTAGAATCCTTAAACAAAGATACGAACCGTCAGAGTGCCACATCCTCTCTTAGTTTAGTAATTATGAAGAGAGAAAACTGTAAATATCGTAGTTTAAAGTTATATTCCTTGGCGGCTATAGTCTAAAAGGGACGGTGGCTGGTCGATAAATACCGATGTGTTTTCGTTTCACCAATAGTTGCCATGCTGATATGCACCTCTCTCATAAATTCACTGAGTAAACATTCCGTTGACCTTCTAATATAATATACTTCTCGCAGGTATTATTAAACAATAGCTCTAGTAAGCCTTAATACCATTTTCCAGCACAATTGCTGATTTTCTTTACAGACTAGGCTTTTGTTTCTACTACGTACAGCTGTTTAAGTTGCAGTTTTCCTACTGATACTCCTATTACTGTCATACTCTCTAACGTATTATATGTCTGTTAATTCTAAGCTAAAAGACCTCTACATCTCGCGAGGAAGTGTTCTTCTTTTGGTAGTTGGCTCCATTAGTATTAGTCTGTCGCCAAAACCAGTTTCAATGGCTATCTGTATGTCTTTTTCTTATGATGTCTTTTCTTCTGCAGATGCTAATTTATAAAGCCCTTATTATAAGTGTATTAGGCTCGGGATTTACTACATATATAAGAAGTTTAGTAACATCACTTATTGAGCCCAGCCAAGTCGGGCGCTTGTATGCTGCTATGACAACCATGGAAATGATTGGAGGTATCATAGCAGGTCCTGTTTTCTCTACATTATACAGTTATGGTTTGAAACTTGATGGATTATGGGTTGGTATTCCATTCTTGGCGTCTGGAGCAATTTATATGGCGATTGCTTTGCCATTGTTTCTGTTGTCGTTGAGTTCACATGACATTACATGATTCAATGGCATCGAAAATATAAGGAGTTAATACGTTAAACAGATATCTGTCTCCATGGCAAAACAATTTGTCGTGAGTGTCATAAGCAAGAGGCGAAGAAGTGTATTTAGCGGAATAAGCTTTCATGCTTGAGTAGAACGAAGAGAATTTATAATAGATGGTCATTCAGAATGTCCATTTGTCGGATCAATGGCTCTCCAGCTCGTGCTTCTATTTTGGGCTAGCACTATGTGTACATATTCTACCGATGTTGTAAGAGAGGCGGTCATTACTTTACACACACCTGGGTTACAGCAGTATTGTTCTAAAGACTTCACACAACTAAAACAATTAAACGAATAGTATAGAATAATTGTTACTTTTTACTTCTTATTAATCTAGATGAAATATGACAATTGAGTTATTTGTACCAGACTTTGGCATAATAACTTTTGATAGCGTGTACAGAGTAATGTCCAGGTCTCTTACTTACAAGCCACTAATAATTCGAAAATCACAACCCATAAGAAGCCTTCCGCATGGTACAATATTTCATAAAACATCTCCGGATCTCCGAAGCAGTTCTACCATCACTATAGCTTATATTCACTGACACGCCCCCTGTCATCGTACTTGAATACAAAGACCACCAATAGAAAGCAACGAAAAAGACCTCATCTGTTGGCGCATATTTTATGACGTCAACTTTCCTACCAGCGTTCTCAAACATATACCTTATATCCCTTTTGGGAAAAACGATAAAAAGGTGAATATTCAATATATTTCCCCGCCCTCCTCTGTCTTGTCGCGTTGGCTTCAGCAGCTGTCAAGCGCGATTTTCAAGGGGGTTGGAAGGCGAATACGGGGTTACCAAAATTTGAATAAGAAAGTGTGAGGGTCAGGGTGATTAAGATATATTGTCGTCAGAGTGTAGAGTGAAATCAAAAGTCAAAATTGTGGTCTAGAATTCACGATCCCAACTGTAGAGTGCATTTTGTCCCATGCAGACAGACATTCACTTATGCGACGACGATTCACTGTTACGGTACCCAGCGGGCTAGTGGAACAATAGCGCTCAAAGTTTCAAAGCATGTAAATATTGGTAAAGTTTGTCCTTTGGGTTAGGGTTGAGAGAGCGGGGTAAAAGCCACTACGCAGCAACGATATATATATCTCTTGCTGGACGTAAGTGCAATGCTTCCCACTGCTCACAAGCAACCTTCATCTTGGGAGGCGAGCATCAATTTTCTATTTCACTTTGCGATCACTCAGAAATTTATCGAGCTTGAAAGAGCATCATGGCTCATACCAAATGGGCACCATAGCTACCCTCGCAGCTCTCTGATAAACTGGCTTTCAAAAATCCTACTATGGAAAGCTTGCACTCAGTAGAGTTAGAAAGTTCCGATTCACACCAGAAGGCGACCTCCATCAAAGAACCAGAATCAGTTTCAAACGAATATCCACATGGTTTCCGACTGGTACTCCTTGTTGGAGCTGTTATGTTGACTGTCTTCTTGACATCTTTGGATCAAGTGAGTATACGACACTGCTTCAAGATCACGATTGTCGCTCAACGCACCGTAGACGATCGTAGGAACAGCTATACCCAAGATCACAGATGACTTCCGCGGCCTCAGCCAGGTATCATGGTACGGATCAGCCTATTTCATGTGCCTCGGCGGGTTCTAGTCCTCCTGGGGAAAAGCCTTCAAATACTTCCTCTTGAAGTCGACTTTCATCACATCCATCCTACTCTTCGAGATCGGCAGCTTGATTTGTGGAATAGCTCCGAACTCCATTGTGCTCATTGTTGGTCGAGCGCTCGCTGGAGTGGGAGGAGCAGGTGTTTCGACGGGTGGGACTATTGTACTCGCCTTCTCTACCGAACCTGAAAAGCGACCATTACTGATGACGTTTGTTGGAGTCTCATACACCATAGCCTCTATTTGTGGACCAGTCATGGGAGGTGTGTTTACCCAGCGCCTTACCTGGCGATGGTGCTTTTATATCAACCTCCCTCTAGGTGGAACAGCACTTGCCATACTGGCCATAATTTTCCATACTCCACCCTCCGCCAAGCCACTCAAGGGGAGCTGGAAAGAAAAGTTTCTGCAAATGGATCCCCTAGGTATCGCCTTGACCATGGGATGTTTTGTAAGTTTCATTCTCGCACTACAGTATGGAGGACAATCTCATGCTTGGAATAGCAGCGTAGTCATCTGTTTACTTGTTGCGTTTGTTACTCTATTGGCCACGCTGATCGCTTGGGAAATCTGTTAGGGCGATTATGCTATGCTACCCCCCAGATTACTGAAGCGGCGTGCACTGTGGGCAGGATGTCTCTTTCAGCTCTTCTTCTCGGGCTCCTACTTCATCCTCCTGTATTACATTCCGTTGTTTTTCCAGAGTATCAATGAGATGGGCGCTATCAGATCCAGTTTAAGCAACATGCCTCTGTTTCTCGCTTGTTGTTTCGGTATTGTGACGGGAGGAATGACTGTCACCAAGACCCATCAGGCAGCACCCTTTATGGTCATCGGCTCCGCACTTGCATCGGCTACAATGGGCCTTGTATACATGGCGGATGCGGAAACAAGTGAAGGGATGTGGGTAGTCTACCAACTTCTTCTTGGGCTAGTTTTGGCGTTCCCTTTCCAAAATGCCATAAATATCGCGCACGCAGATGCGGACCCAGAGGATGTACCAACAGTGTCTTCTACTATCTACTGTAAGTCCCACCTATCGTTCAAAGTTTCAAGCCAAGCTGACTTCTGCAACCAAATCTTCCAAGTCCTTGGAGGGGCATTCAGTACTTCCGCAGCACAATCAGCCTTTGTCAACAGGCTCGTTTCGAGCGTTATTACAAACGCCCCCGAACTGAGCCCACAACAATTGATCTTCACCGGTGCCACAGAGCTTCGATCCGTCTTTCCCCCGAGCAACTTCCTGGTGTCTTGCAGGCGTATTTGGATGGTATCAAAGCGTCATTCGCGGTCGCTATTGGTATGACCGGCATTTCGTTTGTCATTAGCCTCATGGTCCCGTGGAAGAGACTTCATACCAGGACCGAAAGCGATGCAACCCATGCTGCGTCGTCAAATCGGCTTTCTTTCTTAGCGTGATGGTAGTGTGCTTTACGTGGTTGGGTGATCGATTTCGTTTCAAATGAGAGATAGCACGGGGTTGGAATTCGTAATGGGTTGGAGTTTTTGGTTTTCATCTTTGTCGGCCTCTATGGACTTGCGCCACTGGCTCATACGAACCCTTTTTTCTTCTCGAAGATGCATGGAACTGGTGGCAAGCTGGTGGATTCACCTTGTTCAAATGGATGCGAGATGCGAGCAGAGTTGTGGGCGTTCTAGAGTGTAAATTCCGTTCAAGAGAGTTTGAGATTAATGAACCTCGAGATCCTGTACTATGGAGGGTAGAGCTCATCCGACTTTTTGTTGCGATGCCAGGTACCAATGAAGATCTTGTTACACCAAGCCTTGAGGACTACTCAACACATACCCGTTTACGGGGCTAGCGAAGGTTTGTCATATTATTGCATTCGGAACATTCATTGTTTCTTGTCACTTACTCAGTGACTGTACAATAATGAGAAGTCTGCGCCATTGAAAGATGCAATCCAAGCAAGAAAAAATCGAAAGCAGCTGAATTTGGCATAACAATTTTTATTGCACGGACAATTGTTTTTTTTGTGGCAAAATGCCAGGGGACAAACAAGGGACTAGCTTCTTCGTATTATTGGTCGGCTGCCTACAAATAAGCCCAGCGAATACTGGGAAACGAGGAAAACTACATGTTTGGCAGCAAGTACGAAGTAAGAAGTACAGCCCCTTCGCAAAAGTAGCAAGATGTTTCGCGACCCTCGAAACTGTGGGAATAGGCAAATCACATACAAAATCCCTTGCAAAATACCCTGTAACACACTAGTACTGTAAGATACCCTAGAATCTCGAGATACTTGTGCGAAGGGGCTCGGCTCTTCGTATGTGATTTCCGCAACCATACGAGAAATGAATTCAAGGAGCGTGCTTAGCCGCGAGGATCAATATGGTCTTCTTGTGATCCGGATTGCGCTTCTCGCTTTGATAGGATAAGATCTTTGATATCTTCAATTGACTGAATCCCCACAAATGAAAATAGCATCTTGTAATCATCACAAGGGTGAGGAGATCAGAAATCCGGCATCAAAATAATCCGGACGTCAAAGTCGCTCTTCGGAGTTAAAGTTGGGAGAATTTGCTCGCATCGGACATCCTATTGGGAAGCTGATGTTTCCTGTGATACGAATACTGTACATCAGCTTACCATCCATCGGATCTTGAAGCTTGGAGGATGATCCTAGTCGACGCTTCCCGGAATAGCTGGGATCGAGTTGCCGTTTCGGGGAAACCTCCTGTGGGGATTGGCATTTGAGATGGGAACACCAGAGAAGAGACCATATGAAAAAGCGCTTTCCGCTGTTCCATACAGTGATTGTGCAAATCGAGGTCTTTGAGATAACCTTAAATTAATCTACACTGATAATCTGACAGAGTGGATTAATGGGAGTATGAATTCAGCGATGCAAATATAGAACAGGCGATTGATGGTAATCAATCTGGAACGCCACTACAGGGTTTGGTGTCGCAGAAGCATAACACCGGAAAAATCTTGGCCACACTCACGCTCGACGACTCCTTCTGGAGTTTCTCTGCTTTCTTCCATGACGAGCATGTCGCAACTGTCATTGTTTTATAGTAGAGTACTGTACAGCATCTTGCACGGTCTCGTCCGATATGTTGTGTTCCATCATCTCCTTGGCGTTTGCCATGACACTTCGAATAATATCTGAGGATAGTGTCATTTGTTTCCACTAAGTCATCCCACAATTCCAAATGACGTCCAGAATTTGACGATTCATAGCTACGGAGTATGACCATATGCTTGTTCCAAGTCTGATCTTCTGAACAAAAATGCGATTCTTAGGAGTGCCACCGCCAATTCTGATCCTCTGCTTCTACCAAGTAGCTTCAATAATATCGAAGTATACTTTCAATATCATTGTACGTGCATCGGCAAGCAAGCAGACAATTATTGAGGTTGGAATTACCTACTTGGAAGTATTTCCACTGTACGTTGATGATTGGTAATCTCCCGCGCCCTCCCTTTTTCATCTCGTCTCGTATTTGCCATCCGGTCTTGGAGATCAGACCTGCCCTTCTTTCCGAATCCGGACGGAGAATGAAGTTACTTCGTATGCTGCCCTTTTCAGTGCTCTGCTGTTCTCTCATTCATCCAAAATATTTGGTCCATAAAGTTACAGAGGAGGGTTCTGGAAATGAGGGTTCGGGGCTCGCGGTGCGTGGTGGCCATTGGTTTGGGTCCATGATCGAGGTGGATAGGTCTCTGTTAATTTCAAACACTGGATGGTGGCTATGGTCCGAGATGATGGCGAAGGAGAGCTTGGAGAGCAGTGCGGTCTACGAGTAGGCACGCGTACGTAGTACGGAGTACATCGTCCAGCGGATGAATTGATATTGAAACGTTTCTCACGCTTTGTTCTGCTGCCAGTACCCAATTCCTCTGGGAAGGAAGATGGTGATGGAGGTGCCTTTAAAAGGCTTTGAAACCACCATCCTTTGGCCCATCTTGCGGTTGAATAGCTCTCAGTGAGACCCACCATTGTTGACTCCTTACATCTCGTCGCAGAATGGGGGCAGGTGATTCTGCGCCGCACCCTGTGCGGTAGTGACTGGCCGCAAGGAGAATTCCCCGTATGGAAGGCATGGCCTCAGAGGCCCAGAGCCTGCTCGGTGTGGTGGTCATGTTTACGCAGTCTCCGGAGTTCATACGCTCAGCTGTCGTCTTTTCTCGTCTGTGACTTGTTTGTTCAACACGGCAGCGCTAGCGATCCCCCGATGCTGCTACGGTAAGCGACCCGTAGTGGCGCTGCGGTGTTTCAAGACATTGATGTACCGCTTGGCGCTTGGTACTCACGGCCCCCAAGGCCTCTCACCCTTAAAAGGACACCACGAACATGGAAAGGGGGGACAGGGGAATGGTGACAGGCGCTCCGAGACGCTGCGAATCAAGCACACTCCCACACGTTGATTGGTTCCGAGTTCCACCCTCCCTCTCCTGCCCGTCTGACTTGGCATCGCAGGCGTCTCATCGTGTGAGGCCCGACCCACAACCCCTTGTGCTACAACCACGAAATCTCAAGATTCAGCCTCAGACTCAACGCCCTCCGTACCATAACGGTAAGGATATGGGTAAGGGTAAGGGTAAGGGTATGGATTTGGGTATGGGCCATGCCATGGCAGTACCAGTACCAGCACCAGCAACACTACGACCACTATGGGTCAGGCCAATTTAGATGGGGACGGTTTGACTTATTATAACCGTGGGTCTGTCCGCTCTGTTTCTCTGGCTGTGCCGTTCATTTTGCTTCTCCTTCCATCATTTCTCAAAATATATCACCATGCAGTTCTTTTCGCTCCCAGTTCTTGTTTCCTTTGTTTTGGCTTCGTCGTCTGTCGTTACCTCCTCCCCTACCAGCTTAAGGCCGCGCCTGCTCTCCATCCTCTCCAACTCGGAAGCCACCAATATCATCCCGAATAAATTCCTCGTAGTCTACAACAAAAATGCCTCGGACGAACAGGTTGAGACGCACCAGACCTCAATCAAGACGGCCCTGAAGAAACGCAGCTTGTCAACGAGAGGAGACGATGGAAGAATACTGTCAACCGGAATTTCATCATACTCGATACAAGGATGGAGGGCAATGGCATTGGAGGCAGACGACGCCATGATCTTGGACATCGCAGGCTGCCCGGAGGTCAATTATGTTGAGGCCGACACAGTAGTTCAGACGAGCGCTTTGGTCCAACAAACGAATGCACCACTGGGACTGGAGCGAGTCTCCCACAAAGATGTCTCGACGGATGGATATGTTTTTGATAACTCGGCTGGCTCCGGAATCACCGTATATATCGTAGACACCGGCATTCGAACCACTCACTCGGAGTTTGCCGGCAGAGCAACTTTCGGAATTAATACTGTAAACAAAATTGTAAGTCCCCATCACCCTCCCAATCACGTCGGGTAAGTGCCATCCATGCTAACCAAATACAGGATACTGATGAGAATGGACACGGAAGTCACGTGGCTGGAACCGTTGCAGGCGCTACATTTGGTGTCGCCAAAAATGCCAGTCTCGTTGCCGTCAAGGTTCTCGATGCAAAGGGAGCTGGTTCCAACACCGGTCTTGTTGACGGTCTTTCCTTCGTCAACGACGACGTTACCGCCAAGAAGAGAACAGGAAAGGCGGTTGTGAACATGTCAGTTGGTGGAGATTTGTCCAGAGGTGTCAACTCAGCCGTTGCAGCTCTGACCAAGAACGGAGTCATTGTCGTTGTTGCCGCCGGTAACGAGAACGTGGATGCAGCTCAAAGCTCGCCAGCCTCTGCCGCATCAGCAATCACTGTCGGTGCCATCGACGCTGCCAACGATACTAGAGCAGGCTTCTCCAACTTCGGTGCCGCAGTCGATATCTTTGCCCCAGGTGTCGGAGTTCAAAGTGTGGGAATCAACAGCGATACTGCCGTGAAAACCTTGAGTGGTACCTCCATGGCGTGCCCTCACGTCGCCGGTCTTGCAGCTTACCTCATGAACCTCGAGGGCCTCACTGACCCGACTGCCGTTAGCACGCGCATTCTAGAACTTGGAAAGGAGAGTGGAGCTAGAGTCGCCAACCCAGGAAAAGGAACCGTCAACGCCTTCATCGCGAATAATGGCAGTGGGAAATAACGAACGGGATTTGAAATTAGCGAGCATTTGTATACCATGATACCTACACACCATTAAAGGTGCAGATGCAGTCTTCTCATTTACATTCATAAAAAAGATATCATAGGCTTCGGTTTTTTGTTCATCTTTCAGGGGGTCGAAAAAACTGCCCATGTGCAGGTCATTTGGAGTTTTGTTTCAGAGCAAATTATATTATTTTAATGAACCACGCATGTATATAGTATATACCACCGGCTGGATAAATGACCGAATCGTCTTTGTTATTACTCCGTGTTCTCTATGCTGCCACTTGATTTTGATTCCGACTGTTGAATAAACTCCAATCCACGGAGGTAGAATGGCAATATCGATGTTAATTCAAGACGGAACAATATATTCCTCAATCCAAGTTTTCCATCGTGGTATCCCTACATTCCAACCACTCCTCACCAATCCCCTTCATGCAAGACCAGAGAAAGTCGATCATACGGTTCGTGAAAAAAACCTATGCCAAACGCGTTTCGCAATCCGCATCTTAGGGCGAGAACGAGCCCGGCGCTTTTGAACCCCCCCACACAAGGACAGCCCACTTAAAGGCTTGCGTGGCATTGCCGCGCCGGTTATGTAAGTCCGGGACCGGATTGGCGGTGGGGGGGAACCTGACTCGGAGGCCGGACGCAGGAGGCGGATTTCCTCCCCCCTCGGATCATTTCTTGGGTTGCCTTTTTCGAGTGGACAACCTTAACCTTAACGGGTAGGGCTATTGCTACCTACTGGTAATCTACAATTCAAGCTTGGGGATCTGTTGTGCTTGCTGGATGTGGAATGGCTCGGCTTAACATGTAGTAAGGGGAGTGAAGAAGGGACGTAGGTGGGATTTGTCAACTGGCGGAAGAATGTGGACGGGGGCGAGATCCTTAGAAATGCAATCTATTAAGGTCTCGCTAAAGGCGATCGACAGTTCCGAAGAAACCAAGGCTTTCTATTAAGGTTATATATACCTATGCCGAAGTGGCTGCCACCGGCTTTCAACAACACCATCTGGATATTTTAGGAATTCGAGGAGGGGGTTTCTTGAGAATGTTCTAGCGAGTATCCTTGTAAGAACGTTTCGCTTTGAGAGTTCTTTTGAGGTATTTTTCTGCCGAATAACTACGACTATAACGGTTACCGGGATCTCACATACGCCTCAGGTTACCAATGTTGTGCACGAACTTGGGTTCTTGCTCTGGTAAAATTTGTGTAAGGTGGTTGCAGAACCGCCTATATACCAGCTTCAATAATGGGAAACGAAATACGACTTGCTAGTTGTAAAGAGCAAATCTTCAGATAAATCGGTATTTCTGAGCTCACAACTGACTCTAGCCCAGATCTTGCCCCTAAAGATTGCATTCTCACTCCTCAGCAGAGATAGGATGCACTGATTCACCGGGTGAAGCATTCCGTTTCCATGCGGTAGAAAATTTCCCAATTCACTTTGGACCATGGTGGTCATTTCTTTAGACATTAGTGTTCTACTGATAAATAATAAGGAGCCGTTGGCGTTCTATCTTCTATGAGGTTAGAATTCTAATTGCGATGTGCTTCATGAAAGGGTGGATTTGTTGATTCAATAGAATTAGTCCGTATACTGTTCGAGAGAACTAATCAGCTTAATTCTAATTATGCTTTATGTGAATACTAAGAATCTTACTGTGATATCGAGATCATTGGGTAGCCTGTGCCTCCGATATTTAAAAATGGTCTTTTCAAGGACAAGATGAAAAAAGGGTTATTTCCAGAATCACTCCAAATCAAAAATTCTTAAAAAAACTCAACAAGTCTTAGATACCTAACCATTTACGCAATCGTCATATAAATTCTCTATCTACACAACAAAGACGTAGTAGCGAATCCGTCCTCGTGATTCAAAGCTCCACGCTTTATTCTACCAGTGAAAAGCTAACAAGACACTCGCTCTCTCAGATCTCTCTTGGCTCCAAGCGAAGGAAGGATCAAGGGGACAGAATTTTGGTGGTCAGACCCAGAACTCGTGGTCTGTAGTACCAAGAACTGAACGTTTTCAAAAACCGGTACTCTTTTGGTTGGGAGGAGGAAGGGAACCCTGGATTACTTTCCCTCGTAGCCCCTTGCGTTTTCATTTGACTAAAACTGGATAAGGACCCTTTTCGTACTGTACACAGGGTTCTGGTCGTGGTTAGTTTGTGATTTATATGTGTAGCACGGCTTGATTCCTTATCAGATGATTTTGATTAACTCACAAGGTTGTTTGGATAGCTGTGGCGCAATTCGGATGTGTAAAGGTGTATGATTACACAGACTCCGAATTTGTATGTACGTCATATACACCATGGAAAATTATAGTTGGCAATGCCGTAGTAGTGGCTGCATCGTTTAAATATACAATACTCCGAGTTTTGCTAAGTAGAAAAGTTCGGTGGGCTGTGAGAGGTAGAGGAGGAGTAGAGGTATATTATATACAGATGCGTATGTAACCGCACTATTGCTGCGTAAAAAGGTAGGGATACTACTATTGGAATTTTACTAGGAGCTTAGGAGCCGATGATGTCGGCTCCCGTTACCTGGATAACTAACTTTGACAGGAGTTCTACTGTACGAGAGTTTTAGCTACCCGAGCGTTCTGCGAGCTATCTGTCTACATTATAGAGCAGCGTTCGGTAACTGGGATTCTATCCTATTCTAGAATAGTCCATTCTATTTATAAAAGGTCTGGAAATATTCTATTCTAGACCCCTTATTCTACGGAGGTATAGAATCTCCATAGAAGCGAATCACATGACCCGTCCGAATAGTTCTTCCGGCCGATCACTAATAGAATACCCATACAGCGATTTAATACTTATTTATAGCAAAAGGGAGTAATTGAGTACAGGGTAATAAGATTCCTTACTTTATATATTACCAAAACTAGTAAAGTTAATACTTGATTAGGTCTAGTTAATGATCTTTTACTTATCTACTTAGCGAGAATTCAACACTATATGTGTTACGACACGCGCACTCTCGGCTCTACAGTCTGGTACTAGTATATTCCATGGAAGGCGTTAGACCTACTCCGGACGCTTCCATGCTGACAGAGAGCTCTTCTATTAGAGCCCTGCGCTCACCTTAGCTAGCTTCTCTCATTATTCGCTTATTCTATCCTTGCATTGTGCCCTCGTCTTCTGACATTATGTTACCATCAAAATAGTATTTCAATGTCTTTCTCGGTTATACCGTGAAGTTCATGTCTGCAAAACACAATAACTATCTTACTTGGGGTCCTTTTTATCTCCGCTGAGTAGTACAGAAACTTAAAGTATTCACTAAGACTAAACTACAGCGTAAGTTCTCTTAGGGTGTTGAAGAATTCAGGAGGGTACTCTATAGGAATTTTCTTATGAAATGGGATATGAATTTTCTCTTGGGTATACAAGGATATCTAGGAGTAGCCATGGTTAATAAGATCTTATGAAAAAAAATATGCGCTATTCTAGCCACAGAATATCTCACGGCTAACAAATCACAACTTCATAAATTCGCTTAACTAGAGGTCCACGTTAGCGCAGTAGCGAAAAGTAAATTCACCAAATCAAACCCTCATAACGCAGTGAATTTGATGTGAAGTCCACATGGTATCTAGTTGCAAGTGAATTAGTGAATGTTCTTTCTACTCCGCTTCAGATTATTGTCTTTATCTCTTCTCCGCACCTCAAAGCAAGCTTGGGCATAAACACCTCCTCGCTCTACCTATTTCCTCCCACAAATCTCCATAGGAGCCCAAACTTTCTTTAGGAAAACCCACAATAATACCCGACAAACCACTTCGGAAACTCAACCGCAACAATGTTCTTTGGCAAGAAGAATCGAGTTCTAGGCTTTAGCCGTAGTCCATGGCCAGGCAATTGCAAATTCTGCCCCAATTTAAGCTGCAACGTATGCTGGCCCCTTGACTATACTGTTCATGGTACAGTACAACAGGTCTGAAATAATCTTCTAGGGCATTCCGAATTGTCCCCATCGCCACCCAACTCGTAGGACCCATCATCACGTTGGTATGTCCACACTAAGTGGTTAATGTGCTAGAATCATACAGTACCAGAACTCAAGACTGAAGAAAGATAGATGGCAAAACTCGCTACGAAGTCTTCTGCGATGGCTCTTACTATCACTTCCGCGGTAATGGCGTGATCACATATGACAAGCTTGAGGATCCCGACGATATCGACGCTATATTCACTGCTCTGACTTCTCGCGAGCATTTCTGTGGACATCTTGGCAGTGAGAAGCTTCAAGAGAGGGTCTGTAAGCAGGTTTGCAAAGAACTTCGTTATCCACCGCGTGTGGTTTATTGGAACAACGGTTTGTTTGATATGAGGATTTTTGCATGTTTGAATAGCAGACTGATGGAAATAGATGGCTCTCACTACGACGTTGAATCTAACGGCTTCTACATCTTCACCCGTGTTAATGGCTCTAAAGAAGCTGGCAAGCTTGACGACCGCTTCGACGCTGATGATCTATTCTTTAACTTTACTTTATGCCCCAGCTATCCTGGACAACGTGCGATTCAGAAGAGGGTCAGCAAAACCTAAGAGTTGGTTTATTTGGATATTTGGGATCGTGTTTTACAGATTTCTGCTTCGGAGGTGGTATTACAGTAGCGTTCTTGGATTTCTAGGTATTGATGACGAGGGGGGAAAATGGTGGCAAAAAAACTTTATGTGATCATCTGGGCTTCACAGTTGTCCACGGACTTTGAGAAAATGGCTTAGTATCAGGAAATAGGACAATCGGATTTGCATCCTTGCAACCAAGAGTCTTCTTGATTGACGTATGTATGCTTGTCTTTTCCTGAAGGTGTCAGTAATATACTCCGGGATCTACACCCAGCTTACATAAAACACCACAACCAGCTCTGAGTTTGTGTGTCCTTATCTTGTCCTAAGTTGAAGGCGGGATTTAACATTCATGTGCTTGGCAAGAGAATATGATCATGGCCGCAATATATAAGCAGTCCCTGAGGTAAGTAATATCAACCCTTTATGGTTAAACCTACAAGTGGGGAATCAATAGTAACAATAGTATACCTTCTCGCAGTAAATCCCCCAAGACCCGAAAAGCCACAGATATATTCCAGTACGCAACCAGAAGCCGAGAGAGCGTTGTTGGTCATATGCATACCTGTTTTACCCGCAGCTGCATATCGAATGGTGAGAAAAGCACGAGCATAAGTAGCACTTTGGCAACTGGAAGGAATAGTCACCGTCGACTCACACCCTCAACAAACATAAGATCGCAGCATCCAAAGAACCCCAAAGTTTGCACAGAAAATGCGCAAAAGAACCAAGCAATTCGTCTCTCCGCCCCACTTCCACCTCCCCACCCCTCCATATCCCTTTCCCAAAACCCGATTCCCTAGGTAATAGACTCTCAAAGCACCTCACAAATGCCCTAAACCCATAAACCCATAAACCCACATCACTTACTCCCATCTTACAAACACCCAAAGTCTCCATAGATCCCTCACCCCTTGCACATCTCAGTCAAAGACGGGTTGACAATTCGACAAAAATCGATTGCCCATAATAACACGCGTTTCCCTTAATATTAACCTTTATTTACAATCAAAAAAAAAAGCTAGGAGCATAGAATAGCTAGGTTCGTCAAACTCGCTCGGACATGCTGCGAAAGGGGGGGTTTATAGACAGGGGTTTATTGTATTGTAATGCATGAGTGATGCGTTATGTATACTCTATCAGAAGGCCAATATGCGTATTCCCTGTATATACTGGCTTGAAGGATCATGGAAAGCACTACATTACCATAAATCAAAGTCACAAGAGCACACACAACACCACAAAAAAACCTTCAACTTAGCCGTGAATCTTACCTTCTTTAAAAACAAGCGGAACCCTACCCTCAAAAAATCAGTTATTACAAAAAACAACCCCAACCGTATCGTACTTCCACCCATACATGACGGCATGCGAGCGAAATCAGGGGCCAGAATCCCGAAAGCCTAGGCGAGTTTTGGATCTGAATTCTGTGTTCTCATGCGATTGATATTTGGGGAATGGAGATAGCTCTCCATGTACAGCAGCCCGGAAATACAAGTTAGAGAGGAATGGCATGTATTGACGAGTTGTGTTCCCTGGCAAGGCAATGTTTACATTTCTCGGATAGGACGTTAGTTCCTGCTAATTCTCTTCTTGTGCATCCTTTCCCGGGATTCTTCTTGATCGTGACAGACGAAAAAAAAAGGAGGAAGTTAATAAGCAACCCAACACCACAAGAATCCACAGGAGAAAAGAAAATAAAGACACGTGCGAAAAAAGGAAGAGTGTATTCAAATACATCATCCTTCCTCTATCTAGGAAATATACACTTTCTTTGTATTCTCCATCTTAAAGACCTCCCCGGTCCTCAGATCCTTGATCATCCCATCCGCCAACCCAGCTTTCCGGCTATATTCTTCCAGCCTCTGTGTCGCATACACACGCCTATTGGGCAACATCACAAGATCGCTCTCAACGTGAGACTTGGTATGGTTGGCATATGGAACGTTACGTGCGAGATCGTTCAGTTCCGTGGAGCAGATGGGACAGACGGAGGTGGTGATACAAGATGAGGATGTGGGTGAGATGGAGGAGGAGAGGTGGGAGGAGTGGCAAGATGGCGTTTTCAAGGCTGACAGCCCGGCGGATAGTGCTATGTGGAGAAGTGGTACGGGTGGGAGGGCTAAGAGGGTGTTGTGGGTTTGCATAAAGAGATTTGCGAGGATTGTCCAGCGATGCGGACTGTAGATTTCACTGTAGGCCTCTGCTCGCGTTCCGGGTGGGAAAGCAAGTAATCCACAGGCTTGCTGGACTTCTTTTGGATAGAGATCTTTGAATGGGAGGAGATATTTTTTCGCATGTGCTATTGATTCGAGGAGTTTGGATTGTTCTTGGGTTCGTACGAGCTCGATATACTGTTGAAAGCGGAGCATAAATTCTAGTTTACTCTGGTAGAAACGGTTAGCACTTCTTCAGGAACAGATGTAGTGAGGAGAACAAACCTCCATCTTCCGCAGCTCCTTCTTGTTCTCCGCACACCAAGCCAACGCTTCGTTGACCCTCTGATTTCGTAAACTTTCACGAATCTTACTCATCTGGACAAAGGTTTCCACATCCACCAGGTCCTCAATTCCCTTCTCTTTTGATAGTGCGGAAGCACTCTCCTTGTATCCGTGTCGTAGCAGATAGTCGACCAGTAAACGATCAAGTCGTGTCCGACTCCATTCCTCGTATTTCACATCGTCCAGACTCTGCATTTCGTAAAGTTGCGCCAAGTGCCTTATCCTACTGACGGACTGTTGCTGTAATCTTGTCTCCTCCTCTTGACATGCTGCAAGTTTGCGTTTGAGGCCTTTCATACGGGCCAGCATGGAATCGACATTCTTGAGTACCTCATCGGGCGAGGAACTGGCGGTCAGAGAGGCATTTGCGGTTTCTCGGACGGCAGTCTTCACCGCAGAGCCTTCTTTTTCGACGGTGAAATGTGCTACTTTGAAGTTTTTTCGAAGAAGTTCGAAGGGGAGACGAATGAGGGGTTGGTCCTGGATTAGGAGAGTGGGTTAGTATCTGGACTGTATGTGGGAATGACAAATGGTGTATTACCAAGATCAAATGGGTATCTTGATTGAGCTTGGAGGTGATATGGTCTGCCATTTGGAAGGAGGGGCGAGGGGAGTTGGTTGGGTCTTGGGAGAGGAGGTGATGTTCTTTCTTTCCTAGCTTCCTAGTTGCGCTTGCTCAATGGAATGGTAATTGGTCTATCAGTAGTTGCCTCGGTAATTTGTGACTAAGACCAGCTCCGGCCTGTTTGGGGTTGTACTCGTATTCAGATGAATGGGCTATTCCAAGAGTTTGGCCGTTAGAACATCTTGACTGGCCCGAGTTCTATATCAGAAGATGTTTGCGCGGAGGTGAGCTTGGTACTGTAGATTGGGTGAAGTCCGAGGGGGTTGATGCAGGTGCAGGTGGTGATGGATGCCGCGGATCGCACGTGCGACAGGGACAACAACAGGTTTGCTAGAGAAGAAAACTTTGTGAGTTGACTTTTTCAAAGCGATACAAGCATACGTATTCTAGAGTCATTCCTTAATTCAAGGAATATTAACTTTGAGTGCCATGTTTTCCATGGGATGTGTTCTGATACTGGCGCTGTACGAAGGTATCTATGTACCGATCCAGAGCTCTCCATGTGCTCCGTACTCGTAATCCACGTGTAGAGAAAACCAGAGCTTGCAGGTGGGTGCACATGAAGCTTCTCCAGCTGCCAAGTGACTCTTGATAGAATCGGGACGTATCCAGCTACTTTGTAGAATTCAGATGTGCGGTGACCATCTATCTCCAACCCATTCACTCAATACCTAGGTATGGAGTTGTATCTACGGAGTACTCGTACTTGTAGGTTGGTATAAACGTCGGAAGATATAATCGCCGCCCGACTCGCTGCCCCACTTTGTCTCAACTGATGACCAAATACCTCCCTAAGTGGTCTTAGCGCTCTTGCCCGTCTCAACCCAGCCTGCGTCGCCGACCTCTTACAAAAACCACCTGACCCTCCCTCCTTCTCATTCACGTGTTCCTCCTCTTCTCCATCTCCAGCTTGGGACTTCTGATATCTCTGATATCTCTCGGGACAACGAGACGATTGATATGCAAATCTAAACAATCCACTGCTGTGCTGTGCCTGACAGCTTTGTGTCTCCTTGACCTCCGCCACAATCCTGAACAAATCGCTTTCTCAAAGGACGCGACCTTGGACCTTTTGTCTGGACCCAAGCGATCCGATCTACTCTACTCACCCACATCCACACATCCATCCTGCGAACAGGTGATCAGCTCGTGATCCCGAGTCAGCAGACCAATCTTCTCCCATCGAGAATACAAGAAGTCGATATCGACCATCCAAAAGCCTCGTCCAATTTAATCGGTGACCGCAGCGTCTGCAGTTGCACCTCTTCAGTCCTCGTCCTCTCGCGACCAGAATCTTGTCGTCGCCTGTTGATCCCAGATTTCGCGGTCGCGTCGCATCCCCAGGTTGAGATAACACCCGCCGGACCCCCTCCAAAAAAGCGTGCAAGGTATGTGCAGCGCCTGATTTGCTCCCCTCCCCTCACCTCGCACCCCCTCCTCACTTCCAACTCCCAGCTCTCCAGCCCCAGTGTGCCCCCGGATCGCGTATGGAATATCATAACTCGCCTTGCGCCTCCTACACACACTTCGCCTGTTCTTTTTTCTTTTCACTCTCACTCTTTTTGGCGCTGTGTGCTCCCTCATGTCACATCCGCTCGTGGAACCATCACGTTCCTAGGGCGAATTGGCACGACTGGTGTCCGCCGATGGATGGATTGCAAGTGGTCCATTTTCCACGCGACCTGGAACAGAGGTCACGATCCATCGTCGCGGTACTCCATTGCTCCAACCCTCCAAGACCCGGATATGACCGCCTCCATGGAGGGGTTCAACGCCAGTGCACTCAACTTCTCTCAACCTTCTCTCTCCGCGTCCATGTCACCAGACCGCAAACACAGACTGCTTCTTCCCTTCTCGTCACATCCTCCTTCAACATTGGACCGTCGGCACTGATTCTGTACTGCGATGCCCATCCTGCCCACTCTGCTGGGCCGAGTGCCATACTCGACGGGGTGCTCGACGACAATGTGCAATGCTCGGCCTAACAATGTCCACTGCCTGTTTGCACGATGCAATCAGTAGTCGCAAGTGCGATGCTTGCTTGCATCCCATCCTATTCCAGTCAATCATCGCACAGGTGGCTATCGCCACAATAGCACCTCCAAACAACGACCATCTCATTTTCTGTCAACCGCTTTGTGATACCTGAACTGCAATGACACGTGCTGACCTTGTAGGTACTACTTCACCAGACACAGAAACGTTCGTTTCGAGAATCTCTGAACGAACTACTGCAGCAGAGCGCTTCGAGAACTTCCGCACCGCCGAATCCATCAAGTCTTTCGAGTGGTTCAGGAGTGTAGGACTTCTGTCCGTTGCACCTGTGCAAACTTCGGCCGAACACGTCACTTGGCTGCTCCGAAAAGATCAGGTTAGGCTCAACATTAAATCTACCTACCTACCCCTTCGAGGTCATCTGCGCCTCTCGGATCCCAATCAGTCCACGCCTACGAATCGTATTGCAAGGCGCAACGATCTACACACCTACTGTCAAAATGGCTGACCATATGGACCTTGAAGGCTCTGGCTTGCAGGAGGTTGCCAACGCGATGCGCCAGGAGGATGTCATGGATGGACATATGAATGCGCACAAGCGAAAGCGAGAATCGGAATCAGCTGATGACACGAGACGTCTCAGCAACAAGCGTGTATCCCCAAATGGCAAGGGAATGGACCAATCCAGTCACGATGGTGCTATCGAGGCTTTGCAAGATTATAGCAACCTACACAACGACCAAAATGGTTCTGCCGAGCATGCTTCTTCGACTGCTGCTGCTGCCCTTGCTGGCATCTATCCTACCATGACTATTCCTCAACCCACCGGCGTCTCGTTTGCCAGTCAAGACCCAGACTCGGACCGCAACCCCGATAACTCGTTCATGGACAATAGCCAAGCTGGTGAAAGCTTCATGGAGAATCCTCAGCCGCCTCGTACCCCAAAGCCAGCTGTAGGATCTGACGAATGGCACAAAGTCCGAAAAGACAACCATAAGGAAGGTAAGTTTACAATAACCCTAACATTCAATCAAAGCCACAAGCTCACAAGATGTTAGTTGAACGCCGTCGCCGAGAGACTATTAATGAGGGCATCAACGAACTAGCGAAAATTGTTCCTGGATGTGAAAAGAACAAGGGCTCAATTCTTCAACGTGCGGTCTCATTCATTACTCAACTGAAGGAGAATGAGACTCAGAATATTGAAAAGTGGACTTTGGAAAAACTTTTGACCGAGCAGGCCATTGCTGAGCTCAGCACTAGCAATGATAAACTCAAGGCTGAGTGCGAACGAGCATGGCGAGAGGTTGAGACTTGGAAGAAGACATGCCAGCTTGCAGGATTAGACCCGAAGAAGGACGACAACTAGGACTTTTCATCCGAATCGATGGACGGGCCTTGTCACTGCATGATTTGTGGTGATTTAACGACTTCGACAGGATGATACCCCCCACGAATGACGACTTTCGCCTTTCGCTGTTTTTCATGTATGGACATTTGGATCTTTTCCACAGCTTCTGATGGGAGTTTTCTTTTGAGACGAGCCCCTTTTCTAACACGTTGTTTTGCTTTCCCGGTGGTATTGATCTTATCGCACGCACGCACAGATTGGAGGGAGGGTGTTTGATGATGACCATAATCGCTAGACCGAAAAACCGGGGGGGCTTGGTACCATTTTATTCTGCACAGCTTTGGCGTAACTCCCGAGGTGTTTTTATGCCATCCATAGCAAATTGAGACAATCTTTTCCCAGAACCAAAAGAAAGTCGAAAAACAAAGTCGAAGGATTTGATTTGTCTTTCGTTTGAGGTGGAGCTTTGCGAGTTTCATGGCAGTTGTTCTTGCTAATGATAGAAAAGCTTTGTAATTTATCAATGAAAAGTATCAATATGCTGTGGTTTTTCTTTAAGTGCGCAATCTGCGGAGTAGATTTCAGTATTGGGTTGAAGGTAGTGATAAGACTTGAGGCTCCCAAATCCAGATAGGAGGATGTTAAATGACGTTGCCCGATAAGCTTGGCTGCACGCGGCGTTTAGGAAACGAAGCGGATTTTGTGGGAAGCTGAAGCGGATGCTAATGTTGATGCAGGGATTACCTAAAGGTATGCAAAGAGTGGGGTCGCATCAAGGGCGTGCTACTTACTACCTAGGTACCTAGGTATACTCTCTGGATTCAACGTGGATAAAATGAGTTGAATGTAGCTTAGGTAGTATTTGAAGCGAAATTGTAGAAGTGAAGAGTGAATTTGATGTGATGACCTACTTCCTTATAGTATACAAGTTCTCCGTACGGAGTGGGCCAGGTACAGTTTTCTCATTCGCATTAGAAAGAACTCGGTGGTGAAGAAGCAGGGGTTCCTAGCATGCGGGGCTTTGCTTGGTCAGGATTAAGGCAGAGGCAAATCAGCAGCCTAGGAACAGCAGCAGTACCGGGACTGCTACTTCTACCATTTCGTCGGTATCTTCTACTTTCCAGCCCAGCTGTGAACATCGGATCGCATTCAACTGCAGCAACGGCGACAACGACGACGACAACGATAGCTGCTCTTGTACTCGTCCTTGAAAGCCCAAACCCTTGAGTTTCTGCAGCTGTATCGGTATCCAGCAACAATCCTTTCCACCGCTTGCTGCAACGGGACTTCGGCTTCTAGTAACAAACAGTTCTGCGCCGCTCCATCACCGCTATTTACGGGCTCAACAACACCCATTCCTCCGCCATGGGCGGCATGGCGCAGAAGCCTTTGCTTTCCACGGGCTCCTTCACAGGCTTTCATTCGGAATTGGCCTCTGATATTGGGGCTACATACCTTTCCGCTGAGTCGGTTCGAAGACAATCCTTTTGCGGCAACAAGGAAGGATGGGGACCGTTAAGTCAGACCAGATATGACTTTACGCCTTGCTTTATGGATGTGTGGGTTGCGAGCGTGGCAGTCTTTGGCATCCTGGGGGGTGCAATTGCGGTGTGGTGGTTGCTGAGAAAAAAGAAGAGTTTCATGGTTGGGAAGGACTGGCATTTTTGGACCAAGCAGGTATGTTTTAGCTCTATGGAACAACCCTAGCATGTTGAGCATATTGAGCATGAAAAGATTCTCCAGATGATCGTGGCTAACCTATTCGGTGTGGAAACAGTCACTCATCGTTGCAATCGCCCTAACCGTAGTCGCTCAACTCACTATTCAAATCCTTAGTTACCCGGATGTATGGGCTGGAGACTTCCGATTCATAAGCAGCCTCCTCACAGTCGTATCCCTGGGTTCTATTTTCGCTGTCCAATGGTTTGAGCATAGCCGGCTTCGGAATCCGAATGGGGTAGTGCTATTCTACTGGCTCTTTCTTCTCATTGCATACTGCGTAAAGCTGCGGAGTTTGATATCGCAAAAAGTATATCTGGACAGCCAGGCATATTTTATTGCATACTGCATTGGTTTCGGTCTTTCGTGGGTCGAGTTTGGCTTGGAATGGCTGGTACCAAAGAAGATGAGCGAGTATCATTCTTTGGAAGATGAAGACGAATGCCCTGTTGAATATGCCACAGTTTGTATGTGCCGCTTTTCTTTGATGACACCCTTAATATACCCCTTGTTTGTTTCGTTGCTGTTTCACTACAGAAAAATCTCGCGACCTGCCAGCCCAAGTGGAGGCATTAATTATCGACATTTACTATAGTCAAAATACCGGGGTGTTGTACACATGAAAGTGTCACTAAGCCGAGTTTCCAGGACTTCAAACTTGAGGATTTCTCCTTCCTCCGTGACATTTCTGAATATAAAATGCTAACTACCTTTTTTCAGTCTCCATTCTTACGTTTGGATGGATGACCCCAATGATGCGATATGGGTACAAGAAGTTTTTAACAGAGGAGGATCTTTGGAATTTGGCAAAGAGAGATACAGCTAAAGAGACCGGCAGTGCTTTCCAAAAGGCATGGGATCGTGAAATTGAACATAGAAAGAATCCATCTTTATGGATGGCTATTTTCAATGCTTTCTCAGGTCCTTACTTCAGAGGCTCTATTTTCAAGATATTCTCGGACACCTCTGCATTTATTCAGCCTCAACTTCTCAGATTGCTCATTAACTTTGTAGCATCATATGGGGAAGGCAAAGAGAGCCAACCCATCGTCAAAGGTGCCGCTATCGCCTTGGGTATGTGCGCTGTTTCAGTGGTACAAACTATTGCACTCCATCAATACTTCCAACGTGCATTCGAAACTGGAATGCGCATCAAGACAGCCCTCACCTCAGCAATATACTCAAAATCACTCAAGCTCTCCAACGAAGGAAGAGCGGCAAAGTCCACTGGTGACATTGTCAACTATATGGCAGTAGATACTCAACGTCTCCAAGATCTTTCCCAATATGGGCAACAATTGTGGTCTGCTCCATACCAAATTACTTTGTGTATGCTGAGTCTCTATCAACTTGTCGGTTGGTCTATGTTGGCAGGTGTTGGGGCAATGATCTTCATGATACCAGTAAATGGATTCATTGCCCGCTTCATGAAGAGACTGCAGAAGAAGCAAATGAAAAACAAGGTGGGTCATTTGCAAAGCCTCCTGGCTTGACCGTTCTACGAGAAGCTGACCGATTTTAGGACTCGAGAACTAGACTCATTGCGGAAATTGTTAACAACATGAAGAGTATCAAGCTTTATGCTTGGGGAAGTGCTTTTATGCAAAAGCTCAACTATGTGCGAAACGATCAAGAGTTAAAAACACTTCGCAAAATAGGTGCTGCACAGGCTATTGCTAACTTCACTTGGTCAACAACCCCCTTCCTGGTATCATGCTCAACATTTGCTGTCTTCGTTTTGACCAATGATACTCCTCTAACCACAGAAATTGTGTTCCCTGCCTTGACGCTCTTCAACATGCTCACATTTCCGTTGGCTATTCTGCCCATGGTTATCACTGCCATCATCGAAGCATCAGTTGCTGTCGGCCGTCTTACTTCGTTCTTCGTGGCCGAGGAGCTCCAGCCAGATGCTGTTATCTTGAAAGGTGCTGTGGGAGAACATGGTGATGAGAGTCTCTCAATCCGTGACGGAACATTCTCTTGGGATAGACATTCGGACCGAACAGCCCTTGAAAACATCGATTTCGCAGCTACAAAGGGCGAGCTCTCCTGCATTGTCGGTCGCGTTGGAGCAGGCAAGTCTTCGTTCCTTCAAGCACTTCTCGGAGATTTGTGGAAGGTCCGAGGACAGGTCGTGGTGCATGGCTCGACTGCCTATGTAGCCCAACAGGCCTGGATTATGAATGCTAGCGTCAAGGAAAATATTTTGTTCGGTCATCGGTACGATCCATCTTTCTACGATAAAACTATCAAGGCATGTGCTTTGACAGAGGATTTTGCCCAATTGCCTGATGGAGATGATACCGAAGTAGGAGAGCGCGGCATTTCATTAAGTGGTGGTCAAAAAGCAAGATTGACGTTAGCAAGAGCCGTTTACGCTCGGGCTGATAATTATCTTCTCGATGACTGCCTATCAGCCGTCGATCAACATGTTGGAAGACATCTGATTGAAAATGTTCTGGGACCTAATGGATTACTTGCTGGAAAAACAAGAGTTCTCGCCACAAATTCTATTCCTGTTTTGATGGAAGCAGACTTCATTTGCTTATTGCGAGAAGGAAAGATCATCGAGCGTGGTACATACAATCAACTCATGGCCATGAAAGGAGAAGTTTCAAACCTCATCAAAACCGCAGGCAACCAAGATCATTCAAGTGGGGAAGGCTCTTCCAGTAGTTCCTCCACAATCATGACTGGTAGTCCACTTGATGACCACGAAAAGTCCGAAGAAATGGAAGAAGCTCAGGAACGTCTCTCGCAATTACCACCAATTAGAGGTGGCTCTTCAGTCCCTTCTAACAGACGCAAGGGAAGTACAACAACTCTGAGACGTGCAAGTTCTGCAAGCTTCAAGGGTCCTCGAGGCAAACTTCGCGATGAGGAGGAACCGAGTTCCAAAACCAAACAAAACAAAGAGTTTACCGAACAAGGAAAGGTCAAGTGGAATGGTAGGTTTTCCGCTTGTTCCGGTCTCTCCACAAACATGTCTCGCTAACCCCTGGCAGTCTACGCTGAATACGCCAAAACAAGTAATTTGGCAGCTGTGGCCATCTATGGTATAATGTTAATTGGAGGCCAAACAGCATCAGTCGGTAAGAAGATGTCTCATAGTTCCCACAATTGAAAACTGCTTATCTTTTCGAACAGGTGGCAGCTTTTGGCTCAAGAAATGGTCCGAAATCAATGCCAGTAACGGCCATAACCCGGAAGTTGGCAAGTACATAGGTATCTACTTTGCCTTCGGCATTGGATCCGCAGCCCTTAGCGTCGTGCAGACGTTGATTCTTTGGATTTTCTGTTCAATTGAGGTACGTTTCCGATGGCAACGGGCTGGTGCATCATGTCAATGCAGTTGAGATTGCGCGGAAGCTAATCTCGTGTTCCCGCAGGCATCCAGGAAGCTCCATGAGCGAATGGCTTTCGCAATCTTTAGGTCGCCAATGAGTTTTTTTGAGACGTAAGTAGTAATGATTCCCATATGGAACATATTGACTAACCAACCTACAGGACTCCGGCTGGACGAATTCTCAACCGATTCAGGTACGTCCACAGCCAATTCCCGCTTTTGTTTCCAAGTTCCTTTTCTTCCACCTTCCTCCTGGTCCCCAGATCTCGGTCAAGGTGGACGTGATTGTCGGTGAAATCTGGTGTCGTGTTGCAATCCTTTTCCTTGGACCCGATCGAAGTGCGGGGATTGTGCAGCATACTGAAAACGAGTGTTGATCTTGGCTGTCTCGCCGCTTCCTTGCGTCCTGCTCCCGGCCTGGCGGTGGTGGTGGTGGGGATGCATATGCATCCCAACACTGCGCACCGATTTGTCAAATCCCATGCCTGTGTAACACCACACACCCGAGACAGATCTCACGCTGGTTTTACTGACTCTTATCGCGCTATAGTTCTGATATTTACCGTGTTGACGAGGTAAGTGGACACGACCAGCCCCCCCTTTTCCCGATTTGGTGAGATGCGAGATCAAGGCTGATTTGGACAATAGGTGCTTGCGAGGACCTTCAATATGCTATTCGTTAATAGTGCACGGGCTTTGTTCACACTGGCTGTCATCTCATCTTCGACCCCGGCTTTCATCGCTCTCATTATCCCGCTGTCTGGTGTCTATTACTGGGTCCAACGCTATTACCTGCGCACCTCGCGGGAACTAAAGCGTTTAGACTCGGTCAGTCGGAGCCCAATCTATGCCCATTTCCAAGAGTCATTGGGTGGTATTACTACCATTCGGGCATACCGACAGCAGTTACGTTTCGCTATGGAGAATGAATGGCGGGTAGACGCCAACCTGCGGGCGTATTTTCCTTCGATCAACGCAAATAGGCGAGTTCCTAATCGACGCAGACGTGACCTTTGACTAACGGTGGGAATAGATGGCTCGCGGTGCGACTTGAGTTCCTTGGCTCCATCATTATCTTCAGTGCGGCTGGTTTCGCTATTATATCCGTCGCAACTGGCACTCAACTGTCTGCCGGTATGGTCGGACTGGCCATGTCATATGCACTTCAAATCACCCAATCTTTGAATTGGATTGTTCGTCAAACCGTTGAGGTGGAGACAAATATCGTGTCAGTGGAACGAGTTCTTGAGTATGCACGACTGCCGAGCGAAGCACCCGAAGTAATTCATCGACACCGCCCTCCAATCAGTTGGCCTGCTGCAGGTGCAGTCGAATTCCACGATTTCAGTACGCGGTATCGCGAAGGACTAGACCCGGTTCTCAAGAATATTAACATTGACATAAAACCTCATGAAAAAATTGGTGTTGTTGGACGGACTGGAGCAGGGAAGTCTTCTTTGACGCTTTCACTTTTCCGTATCATCGAACCTATCGAAGGCAACATCAGCATTGATTCCTTGAACACATCGACAATCGGATTACTAGATCTCAGACGGAGGCTTGCCATTATTCCCCAGGATGCGGCTCTTTTCGAGGGGACAATCAGGGATAACCTTGACCCTGGTAACGTTCATGATGACACAGAGCTATGGGATGTGCTCGGTAAGTTCGTCCCTGCTCATTACAAAAGTCTCCATGAGTTCCAACCTGCAACATGTGTTGGTATCTTGATGGGTTGGTTGTGCCTGTGGTACATGAGAGATCAGATTCTGCGCGGCGCGAGTAATACGATGAGACCTGAATGCTGACGATTCTTTAGAACATGCCAGGCTGAAGGATCATGTTGCTACCATGGATGGTGGTCTGGAAGCGAAAGTTCAAGAAGGGTTCGTCCTCCCATACCCTGTTCCTATCCCGTTCATTTTTCTTTCCTTTCCTCCGTCTCACTACTTTTTCTGCTTTGAAATGTGTGTCGCACGGTGCCAACGCATTGTCCCACTGTCACATTTATATACCACATGGCCCCTCTTTTGCCCTAACTCAACCCGTCTCCCCGATCCCTTCAAATCAGAACCCCTATCGTCGTCAACCTAAAATCTTACCGTCTCTTCCCTCCGTTGTTCTCCGTTCCCTTGACCCATGAATAGCACAAGGCTAACATGACTTCTTTCCCCAATCCGCAGGGGCTCGAACCTCTCACAAGGTCAACGTCAACTCGTATCCCTTGCTCGGGCGCTCCTCACCCCGTCGAACATCCTCGTGCTCGACGAAGCGACAGCGGCCGTTGACGTAGAGACGGACGCCTTGTTGCAGACGACGTTGAGGTCGCCGCTCTTTGCGAACCGCACCATCATCACCATTGCGCATCGGATCAACACGATTCTGGACTCGGACCGGATTGTGGTGTTGGATCAAGGGAGGGTGGCGGAGTTTGATACGCCCAAGAATTTGATTGAGCAGCGGGGGCAGTTTTGGAAGTTGGTTAGGGAGGCGGGGCTGGATGGTCCGTCGAGGTAGTACAATACCATAGTTTCTTATGGGGACTGAGGTATGATGATGCATAGGAATGGGAACCAATGGCGACGAAATGAATTGGATGTGTTGGGCATTGTGTGAGCAAAATACGGGGATTTGGGTATTTCTTTTTACTCTCAAGGTGCTTCTCTTCTGACGAGCCTTTATGGAGAGAAATGAAGTAGTGCAACTAAAGTAGGTAAGAGAGGCGCGGAAAATGGGGTAAAGGAAATTGTATGGGGAGATGAGATGAGAAGATGGGGAGTTTCTTTGACATCCTTGGTATTTTGGATAGTTTTCTCTCTTTCTCTCACTCTTTTGGGTTAGAGTAAATAGATAGATCTAGTCAGCGGCCATTGGAATAAATATATTCTGAAATATGAATGTTGATGTGTTTACACACTCTTGTGGTGTCTTTTCTCTTTTCCCTGGTCACTGTATTGAGATGTAAGAGGGACGTCATCACTGAGTGAACTTTGAAGTGAGGGGTCTGGGAGATATGTTGATATTGTGATGTATTCGGGTTTGGTTAAATGCGGTAAAAGGAATTTAAGGGAAGTGGATAAGTTACTGTAGTAGACTGGAATCAAAGTAGTTCTACGGGTTGATATCTTCACATGATGAAGGTGAGATCTGAAATGTGGATTATGGTGTGAGTTGGTGTTTGAGGTACAGTTACTCAGTAAGGGAGGTCGTTTTTTTTTTAGTATAGGAAAGCTTGATGATTTTCTTTTTGGGGGTTTTTAGGAAAGGGAATTCTGTAGAGGAACTAGGATTACCTGAACTTAGATGGCGAGATGAAATTGAAGTTATTCCAACAAATATTAAGGTAGATATCGTAGAAAAGAGTCCGTGCCAATATGTTCCCTAGAGTCATCCATCGCGTAACTTACTATGCTACTGTACCCCGTACCCCCGAAAGTCTCCGAGTCTCAAAAGTTAGGACATCGGAGGTCTCCCCTCTGACATCGATATCGAGTCTTGGACACAAGCACGATGACCGAATCCTCTGGGTCGCTGCATGTACCACAGCACCGCACGAGAAATTGTCCTAGAACGGAAATCCTATCCGCCGCCACAGGAACCAGATGCACTCTTTTGTTATTGAGACGCTGTTGTACGGGAGAATGGGAAGACCCTTGCGTTGTGGTTGGGTTCTGGATCGTGGGTGGGAAATGGGAGATGGAGCTGCAAGGAGAGAAAATGGTATTGAAAGGATTATTTTTGTTTGAGGCAAAGTAGGAAAAAGGAAACACATACAGCAAGGATAGAAAAAGAAGGAAGTATCAATACCACGGACATAACCACTAAAAACCGACTGAATACGACAGTAAAAACGGAACGAAAAGGGAGAGGAAAAGCAAACATCCACAATGTCAAGGTACGCATCAGGCCCCAGCCATCCCTTGAACAAACTGTTTACGGGGAAAAAATACACCTTTGTCAACAAAAGCAAGAAAAGGGGAGAACGAGAGAGTGCATATATTAACCTCCCATGCGAAAAAAATGGCACGCAGGGGGAAGATATACAACGAATGTACTACGTACTACATTTTCCCATCCCTTTCACGAGCAGGAACAGGGATGGATGGTGTTATTTGGGATTTCTTTGACATCTGCACGCATGTGAAGTTCTGGTGTGACATACAGTATGCGATGTATACATTTGCCACATGGGATTTTTGTATTCGGCACCCCTCCTCTTCTCTAGAGATTCGAAATGTTCTGCAGGGTGTGATATGCCGATCCACTATCATATATAGGTCAAACGGTACATACATATCGTGTGGAGGGTTACGCAAAAGGCAAAGGGTTGGGGTTGGGGTTCTTCGCTAAGCTTCAGTGTTGGGATTCGGAGGTTTTTTTCATTTGTAGCGTGGAGGCGAGGGGTTTTCTGTTGTAGAACCGAACTGAATCCTACACTGTTCTGTGACATGTGCCGTGTGTTACCATGCATTGTGATGAGGGATTGAACCGTTGGAGATTAGAAGGTCCTGGAAAGGGAGGAATTTGCGTGTGTGGTGATGGGGTGATGTCCTTGTACTAGGAAGGGGAACTGGGTTATTCGCGATGGTTGGCTGTTATGAATGACACGACGTTTGAGAGACTAGAACTACAGGGGAGATGGGAGATTGTCAGAGATTGACGTTCATCATTGGCCATGGAACACTTTGAAGGCCAAAATGGATAGTGAGAGGGATTAATTTATAGCTCAGCAGCTTACAAGAGATGCTTGGAAAAGCTCAATCACATGCATAAATTGTGGACATTGAGTCGAATCGGGTATGTTCAATGGAAGGAGGAGGATGACAAGGATAGAATAAGCTTCCGTATTTTGTATTTTCATATTGAAGCAATATCACGGAACCAATGATAATATGATTAAGCACCAACCAGATTTACGATTTCAAAGAAAAGAAGAAAGCGGAAAAGCAGTTTATGGCGCTGCCTCAAATTGGGAAGCACAGAACACAGTTGTCGAATTGACTTGTAAGAGGCAGGAGAGGGCACTCCCGACAGCCCAGAGATAAATTTACAAGTGCTGCTCAGAAAGTTTGGTAACGAGCGCCAAATCCGAGATCACACTTGCCGAATGAGACGGCACTTCTTCTTGGATTTGTTCGGAAAAGCTGTCAGCGCCTCTGCACGATCTCTTAACTACCAGAACAAACGGCATTTTGATATCTCCCGATGCTGTGGAATTTGGTATGCCATATGGCTTGTAAGATGACACAAGTTGATGTGGTCGCACGATGACATCGGTCCCTGTCCAAGGCCCTGTACTACTTCTGGTTTTCATTGAACAGGAAACTTTTTCACAAAGTCAAGTACCCTTTCTGGTCTAGAACTGTTCCCGATTCCCCGGGCCAGGGGGGTTATTCGAACATGCAGTTTAATATTGAAATCAAGGTTGACCAAAAGCAATGCCTGCAGCTTGCTTGACTTCAGGTATTTCGAGGACTTGTGTCAGCCCAAACCGACAAAGGCTGAAGTAAAAGGAGGGGTAGCGCCGCAATCCCCCGCATTATTGCAGAAACAGTAAGGGCGTGAGAAAACAAATGCCTGCGTTCGCATATTGTGGTTGTGTTTGCTTGTTTTGGCTTATTCTGTACCAGTGTGACGTTCATGTTCTGTCATTGGCCACCGGGGCTTTCTCCTCATTCAGACCAGTACAGTAGGAGATCGACACTGCATTGAATTGCTTGCCATGTAATGGGAAACACTCGAAGGAGGATAAATGAAGTTGTGGGAGGTTCTTTCCCCTCTCTCCTCCTCGTCTCGTCACCAATGTCTGGTCGGCGTCGTGCCGAAAAGGATACCCGGGAGACCCGTCTCTGCAGGATGTGCACATCCGTATGTGCAGGCCGAGTCGGTCTCGTGTAGGTGCAGCGATGCCGACGCCTTCTCGAGTTGCTAAAGTTTTGTGATAGGTATTATGGTATCTCTGGAGCTGACATGCATATGAGCTCGGCTCCAAGAACGTGGGCAGAACTTTCAATCTCGTAGCCGCAGCTACCGCTCAATATGAGAAGTGACTTCATCTCCATCTTACATCTGTGACCTGTCCGGTCTACCTCCGTACGGAGTACAGGCGCAGAGGTAACCTTAGGCTGACTGCAGCGGAACAATATATTGCCGGCAAGTGACGGTCGCTAAGGTTACTGAGCACATCACATCGCACCTAGCATCGCTTGGTCCTTGGAGCAATTGGGGTGGAGATTGTTGGATAACATACGAGTACGAGACGGGTGCACACTCCGTACAGTGGAGTGGGCAACTCCGCGAGGAAAAGGCGATGGGGATACGGCAAGATAGTCGCATTGATGGAAACCATCGCGCCGCGCTGACAGTGTGAAGGGTACGAGGTCCAATTTCGAATCTTCTGAATGCAGAAGTCATAGTCATGGAAAGATCGATGGCCATTGCTATAAGGGGTTATATGTAGAAGGTAATATAGCTGGACTTTGACTTTTTTTTCCATCCCTCAATGTTGCTCAGGTTCATCTGCAGGGCAGGTTAGCCACAGCCACTACCACACCCTCGCACACCCACACCAACCCAATGTTTGCTTCCAGGGTCTAGCGAACTAGCAAACTAGCGAGCTAGCGAGGAAAGGTCTCTTGACGTTGAAAAAAACTTTGCTGCCTCAGGCGAAAGACCCACCTCAAAAGGGTAGCGCCGCAGCGGAGGACGCTAGCTATATTCAGTAGCTGTTTCATCTGATCAACTCCTACCGGTAGCGGTAGCTAGGCAGGTCATTTTAGCTGAACAGACAGTTAGATCGTAAATTTACCCCAAGATTCCCAGACTCTACATATGGATTTCTTGGTAGTGAAGCTTAAAGTAGGGAAGTCTGCTTAAAGCCTACTCAAAGTTTGGATCAAAGATGTCATCTCTCGCAATCCTCCCTTTACCTCGCAATCCATATATACGCTCATACAACCGTCTTCCAAGACAAACTTATGATACTTCTCTTTGCCACAAAGCTCAAATCTCAAAGTTCTAAGCTTCGCGAGCGAGTCAACTGCCGCAAATCATCCTGAGCGACGTTACATGATCCGCTACAGACCATGAAGTGCTCCTCCGAGTGGCCACTCCCGCCTCCATTTTGGTCTTCTTTACCAGGTTGCCTCCTAAAACCTTCATTAGCGTAAGTCAACTGCCGTAGTGGCTTGCCAACACGTGGGGATTAATCCAGCAGGCATCGATCTGGTTTCCGAATGTAGATTGTCTCTCTCACCCTTGCAGCGACGGACAATCTTTTTTTGATTTTCGGAGCCTTCAATGCTTCATTCATCTGGGCAACTTCGGACGATATAATTCTGAGGTTGCTCTCCAAGCATCCGAAAGTCATGGCGCGATGGCAATGATACCAATCCCAGACGTCAATGCCAAAGGCACGAGAGCCTCGACGATGGATGTCGTCCAGAATTGGAAGTTTGGCGAGAGAGAGGGAGAGGTCTGAGGAGCCAAGCGAACACGATGCGGTGTCCCACAACTGTGCCGAGTAAAGTGGAAGGGAGATGTAAACTCCACAATCGCAGAGAGACCAAAGGCCACCTAACCCACACGAGGGCGGTGTGTCGGCAATTAGCGACCCGGTACCAAATTTTATATACAAACTGTGACCACAATGACGGCAATGAATGGCGACTGGAGATGAATACTGTATAGGTACTGGTATAGTATGGATTGGGTCAACCGCCGATGCAGTAACCTTACCAGGCGCTCCCTGCTGCGATAAGTGATCCGAGAAAGAAGATTCAAGCATTCTGATCTTTGGACGAAATAGCGCCGCAGTCAATGGTGTCTCAGGACGGGAGCTAAAGCAATCCTGGTCGGTTGCTGTACCAGACGGCAGGGTGGCAGCGCCGCTTTTGGTGCTCTGGGTGATTTCTTCAGGGTTGAAGAAGCTTGGCAAGAAAGAGACAGAAAGATGATCGACATCATCGCACCTGGAATCAACCCAGTCCTGTTGCCGTAGCTGCCGAGGATTAGGGCAAGACTAACCAAACCCATCGCTTATTCAAACCAACTACGGGAGTCCTGAGCACTCGCAAAACCAACAGATGCTGAGCCTATGGAGATGCCGATGGGAGAGGAGCTCGAAGCAGGTATAATGGACGTGATATTACTCGCCTTCGAGGGTGGGAGCTCTCGCCAGCCCCGGTACCTTGGTCCATAACTACGGAATTCTCGGGTGCTTTACAGTACGAAGCCGCAGTTCTTAAATAATACCCAACCTGGCATAAATAATGCATAGAAGTATAAGTACATGCACTGCAAGACTCCGCACACCTCCAATAATACTGAAGTAATTTACTACTACAATACCTTATATTTGTTTTTTCACTACTAGACCTAGAAGGTTGGTAGATGTGTCAGGATTAAGATTTGGGGTTAGTTGAATGTGACTTTTGGTTATTTTGTACGGAGTAGTATGAACATGGCTAAGTGCCTACGTTTTGTGCCAGATATGGCCCGGGCAAGTTGGCTAGCATTTAATCGATTCCGATCGATTTCGTTCTGTCCTCTCCTAGGACATGGGCAATATATAAAGTAAATTTAGAAGGAGGATCGTTAGGATGAACTCCTTAACCTATCATTGCAAGTAGCGCGAGCCGGAACCCGCAAGCGAGCAAAGCAAGACATGCATGGATATTAAAAATTCACACATGAACCAGGGAAAAGGGGGCAAAGTTTGTGTACATCTGCACCTTCGTGATGGCGTTGGCTTTGGTCTTGGGTTTTGGTTTGGATTTATTTTGGTGGTTTGTTGTAAGCAAGGGCAAGGAGGGAGGGTGCGGAGCAGATGTTGAAATCAGAATTCTGAGCCGCCCACTATTGCACTCTGCACGGGTCTTGCGGGGACGCCACACAACTCTCCAACCACGCTCAATCACCCCTGAAGTTGATACCCAGAATTTGACTCCACCTTACGACGCAATGGATTCAAATTCCCTTCGAGGTTGCTTCTCTCTGTCTCCATTGAAAAGGGAATACAATAATTGAGGCGAGCCCATGATTGGTGCATCCATGATGTCCGGCCTTGCCACATGGCCACCTCTGAATATTGGCACCAAGCACTATAAGGCTTATAACATTGTACCTTAATATTATCCGTTCCTGGAGATCTCCGAGCGTGCTTTGCCTTCTCTAACCGAGTATAAGATCTACCTATATACTAATACTATAGTCTATCTAGACCTTGTAAACTACTCTTTCCCTCGCTTAGCTTTAACACTTATATAGTTTTATTCATTTATAATTTCTGAAAAATATACTAGATTATACTTGTATAATATAAATATTTAAAGCTTTTGTATTATTTACTTGATTTTTAAGTCTTATAAAAGAATATAAATATGTATTAGTTTATATAAATAAAAATAATAATATAAAGTTTTATATAAAATATATAAACTAAACTAAAATAAATAAATATTCTTAGGCTTTGATTAATCTAGTATAATCCTAGAGCCTCGATAGAGATTTATACTAAGATTAAACTTTAATATATAGTTTTTAAATTACATTTTAAATAAAGAAATAGAAATAAGTAAAAGAAAATTATTATACTAAGATTATCTTATCTAAATTCTTCTATAACAGGCTTTTATATTTGATAGAAAAAGTAGTAGTTAATTAATTATATAAGTATTTTGTTTAACTTGGAACCTTCTGTGGAACATCTGCTTACATAATAACGCGCGTGGGGGTTCAACAAAGCCCGCTAAGATAAAGTTTTGTCGTGCTACAAACTGCGAAGTGCTTCCCAGTAACTGGCACGATGACTCCAAGATTCTAGACCAAGCAAACTCATTATTCTGGATGTCTGGATTGTTACTCCTAATTACTTCAAATTTCTGTAATAGCCACTTCACTGATACTGGAACGCTAGGACAACAAGGAGATTATCTACACTGTACAGCCACTTTTAAACCATCACGAGGGACGTAACGTTAACGGTCTCCATATAATCGCTTTGGTCCATGACTACTGCGAATCCGGACTTCTCCGGGAATAAGATGGAGTCTGGAGAGCACCAGAAGTTTCTCCGTGTCTGTGAGTACCGGGTATCACAGTATTCGAGTATTGAGAGTGGTCTGCGGTGGGGGTAGTTCTTCGTACTTGTACTGTTATACCTCGTAGCTGAAGAGTCGTGTATCAAGGCGGAGGCTGCCTGCTCTACTGTACACAGTTCTCCCGCAGTTGCACTTACAGTACGGAGACGGTACCAAAACGACCAGACCCTGGCAATTTTGTCAGCAACTGTTGATCTCCAACCTTAAATTTGAGCCGATTTTCTTTTTAATTAAATTAAAACTGCAAAATCGTATGATGCAGTCACTTCAGGGTTATCTCCGTGAGCTCTTCTGTCAGAATGCTAACATCAAACCAGACAGAGATCAATTCCCCGGCAGCCTGGCTCAGTAGACAATGGTATTTCGTCCTTTCATCTATGCGAGGAGCTACTTGGAAGTACTCGTAGTTACGGGGTAAAGCTCTTCGTAAGACCATTCGAAGCTGTCCCATGGATAATTACCGATAATCAACAGCAAAACCTGAATTGGAATGCCTCTGACATGATCCTCGACTGCTCAACATGGATGCGAACCCCCACGAATGACTCCCCACGTCCGAACGCTGATGATGCCGGAGCCTGGTCTAAGATCCACCCATCTCCACCAGAGGGGTCTGTGGTGATGCCACAAATGCTTCCCGCTCCCGCCCCGTTGAGGCTCATCCTTGAAAAATCTTGAAAATTCCACTCTGGTCAAATCACAATGCAGGGTCCGGCCGGAAAGGAACTCCAGAAAGCATGACTTCCATGCCCCTCATCTTCTGCATTTGGGTCGAGAGCCGAAGCCGATACCCAAAGAATCCCACCGGCCGTTTGATGGGCACAGCACGGGAGGGCGAGAGCTATTATTTTCCGAAAACTTCTTCAAGGGCTCTAGCGCCGCGATATGGACCGTCGAACCGACGATGGAATTACAAAGCATTTGCTGAAATCCACCACTCGTAGTGGCCATAGCTATGAAATTATGTCCTCATCCTCATATCCACTCATTCCAAAGGGTCTGAGAGGGAAAGGAGGGAAATCAAAGTAGACAGCGGAAAGCTAGTTCTGTAGGCATTCCGCGGCGGAGATATCAGCCTCTTCAGTTGCGCAATGGTTTCTTGACAGCGATAGAAGACTTGCCAATTTGGTATAATTGGAGTGACCGCGAATCAGTGGCTTTTCCATCACGCATCTGGTCAGGGTTCCATGGGCCAGGGACCGTGATGGTTGACCAGGAAGTGCGAGGATGTGGCTTGCCCTCCCCTTGCTGGTTGCTGGGCATAAACCGGTTCGTTGGATCGATTGGGTTATATATCTGGTTGAGTCGGTTGACTGCTGGCACGAGAAATTGTCATCGGTAGGAGGGATGCTGGTGTGTCTCCAGAAATTCGGGCAGATCGCTGCCTCAAGCCCGGGAGCCCAGCCTCTGCTCGTGAGTCTTGAGTCTTGAGTCTTGAGTCTTGAGTCTTGCATCTCTTTGTGCTGTCCCCTCTCGTCTCTCCCCTCTCTCCACCGGATGGATGAAGCGAGGAGCGAGCACTGTATCACGGTGCAACGGGACGTCCCCTCTCCAATGAGCCCATTCCGCTGGCGGTGAAGGTGCCGTCAGCGCTGTGTTCTCTACTTTGTACAGTAGAATGCTGTGTCTGTGTCTGGGTCTGGGTCTGTGTCTGTGTTTTGGAGGAGGAGGAGGAGGGAACCAAGAAATACCTCCGTACGGTGCAGTAGATTCTCTCCATCTCCACGTCTGGCTGTCGGGGAGAGTCTCCTCAATTGAGGTCGAGGGCCGGTGTCGGTTGGAGCATCGACCCGCAGCCATACGGTCGAAGAGTTCCCTGCCATGCAATAGCAGAGCAAGCATTGCTGCAGGTGGTATGGCATGGCATTGGCATTGGCATGGTGTGCTCTCTCGACCGTAGTGTCAGTACGAAGGGCAGACTGGACAGTATTGCGGCATCCACCCTGGCTGGTGCTGACCAACAGCTGCTCCTTCGCTCCAGAGAGTGGCCTCGAGTGCCTTCGCCCTGCCCCTCCTCCGAGTGTGGTATACAGTATACACACCACAACTCTGCCTCTGCCTCTGCTTCTGCCTCATGCACTGGTTCTGCGCATATCGCGTCACAGCATCACAGCACAGGACAGGACAATCCTATTGCACTGCACTGCACTGCACTGCACTCACACTCACTCACCCACACGCTCACCTCGCATTACCATTCCGATCCCAACAGCTTTCTGCCTTCTCCCCCCTCCCCTTCAACCC